GTTTCATAAGCTGATTCAGAAAAAGATCCTGATTAAATATTGTGGCTGCTTGCCGAGGAACTGCAGTTCTTTTTTATGGTGGTTGCATTTTTCAGTTTCAAGAAGAGACAATTTATTTATTAATTTCTAAACGGATTTCTTTCTCCTCACAACCTTAAATATCTCACAGATCTGCTCCCTAGCGTGAATTTGGCATATTTTGATAATGAATCTTAATAAACGCGCATGTTCTCTAGCCATAGTTTTCTAGCTATACCCTCACTAATGTCTATTTTTTAACTTTATTACTCAATTTAAGCTTGTAGCGAATTATATTTACTTTGACTTATTTATTTATTAAAAAAATGTCATAATTTTCATCGCCATATAATAGACAACTAGCTTGCATATTCATTTGTACTTTTTTTTTATTCCTTCCCTAATAAATAAGCACGACCAGAGAATATGCTGTTGCAACGCTTTGAAACTTTACTTTTTGAAGTTGTCTTGTTAGTAATATTAAGCTTTACTTTAATTTTCTGCAACAGGCGTTCAAAAGTGTGCTGGATAAATATTTGGGAGTGAACTTAAATGGGCCAAATCTGGGATCTTGAAGGAAGTCCTATAAAGAAATTGGTCCTGCAGATTCTGGAGCACATCGATGCTATCCATTTTCTAAAGCTTTTCCTCTCAATTGGTACTTTTACATATAAGTTATACACAGCTATGTATGATGTAAATCATTACCTACTCTAGGCGTTACTTTGTAATTTATTCCAGATCCATCTTATTTTGTATAGAGAAGGAAACAAAAAGTCTCTTAAAATCAACACGATTCAAGTTTCAACTCTATTCTCCTAGTACCTCCATTTATCATCTAATTTTGCCCGTAGAAACTTCGGAAGTAAGCCAGGAGCATATGGACTTTTAAGTTTAGCCCATTTGTTACTAGCCAAGGAAATGAAATATCTTAAGTTAACAAGTTTAATGAGCTAAAATATAGTGATTCAGGAGAAATGACGCAAGGAGCAAGTAGGCAACCTAAATGCTTTTGCCTGGTATGTTTGCAATTGATTAGTGATAATTGTCGTAGAGTACCTGTATTAATGATAGGATTGCTTCTGTTTTATCTACAGGTGAGACTGAAAAGTTCATTATGATACGTAGCCAGTGACCTCATTTTCAACTACTATTTTGACCATTTCCCCTCTAGGATATCGTGTATGTGAACAGAACTTGCTAAGATGAAAAGGATAGAAAAACCATTCTGATGGGCCTAATTAGAACGAATAAGAACAGAGTGGAGGGATTTAGATAGAAATACCATTTGGGATGAATATTCGTTTCTTGTAGAGTGGGGAGTTGTTAAAAAAAAAAAAAAGATTAGGGATAGCATAGAGGTCTGCAGTAGAAGGGGCGGGGGGTGGGGGGGCGGAAGAGAGAAAAGCATAGAAAAGAGGGTGTGTATTTAAGCGAGATTGGAAGGAATAAAAGAGGGAAAGGAAAAGGTAGTTGAGATGAGATTCCCTGATGGATGGATGACATGGGCAGGTAATTTTAATAGAAGAAGAGAGGGGTAGAGGGAATAGAGGGAATAGAAGCTTTTTGTTTTTTGTCTGTTTGTGCAGCACAGGAGGGAGATAAAAAAAGATGCAGTCTTTTTTAGAAGGCAAATGGCATATTGTACCTTAATCCTGCAACTCATGCACATACTTTCTAAAAGCTAGGATATACCATAATGCCAAACCCTCCTTTCATTAATCCCCAGGTTCTTTCTCTCTCTGTGTTTGTCTCTCCCTGCTCTCTCTCTTTTTCTCTGTGAATATCCTAACCTTTTATTTGGTTTAGTTGATAAGCTTTGTATTTTTTTTTATTGAATGTAGTGCCTTTTTTCCTTTAAAATAAAATTCCAAAATCCTTTTATTCAAAGTAAGCTGACTTCATTTTTACAGTGGTTGCAGGAATCATATAAAGGTAGATGCACCACTTGGCATTACCACAAGGGCTCTTTTTCCTCACCAACTTGGGAGAATATTCAAATTTTGAGCTATTTTTATGCTACAATGTGAGTAAACTAATTTTCGTTTGGTGGCACTCATAGGTTAAATGTTCAAATCTCTATCCACAATTATTTGGATTGAAAAAACAAGTCATAAAATATGAGCATGAATCTCTATGAAAAAACGCTCCCTTTTATATCTTAAAGTATTTGATTACTTTTCAAGCATGCTGAAGAGTCTATTGCACCAATGATTGATATGATGATCTGATAACAGTAGAGTAGACTATATGAGAAAGCAGAGAAGGACAAGGTTTAAGTCAATAATTGGAATGTTATTGCAGGTTAAGCTGCCTACTAAAGGTTGTGCTGTGGGGAATATGCACAGAAATTGATAAAGCCTTCATAGCAACAACAACAACAACAAAAAGAAAGACTCTCACCACAGGATTGCAATTCAAACTTCCAGAGCTTCTTCGTTGGTATCATTTTCATCACCGTTGACATTTTCTTTCCTTTTTTTTTTCTTCTTTTCTTTTCTTTTCTTTTCTTTTCTTTTCTTTTCCTTTTCTTTTTCTTTTCTGTTTTTTTTTTTCCTTCCCCTTTAGGTTTTTAGTTTGCAGCCGCACCCAAGTTCCGGACCACCACCACTACCACAAACAATCACTCACTTAGGCACAAATTCACATAACATCATCAGCTTAGTTTGGCTTTATTTTTTTAAGAGAGGAAAAAGAAAAAGAAAAGACTCGCACTTGCAACCAAATTTTACTACCCCTCCATCTGACTTTACAAAAGGCTACTCTATGACAATATTTCCAGTAATTTCCTTGGTACCTCTTGAAAAGTTGTGAAGGAAAAGAAATTCTTGGGATTTGATCACATTTCAACTCGAATTTCAACCCATGGAGTGAGTGAAATAATGTCATCTTGCCATCCATTTTCATGGTCTCCGAGCCTCTATCTCTTTTCTAACTAATTGTCATTCGCTTTTACTTTTGCCAAAACTTGACCTTATTTGTTTTTTCTGCTTAGCTTGACACCTCACAACTAAGAAGTCCCTTTGGAAAAACGCTCATCCATGATATCCCTGTCACTAGGTGTCATATGACTCTTTTCCATTAGCTATGTGGTGAATTCGTGCAACTTAGACCGCACGAGGCACGAAACTCATGCTCGGGTGATGCATGTAACATGCCTCGGCCTCTTAACTAGCGAACAAATTAACAAGCTCATATGCCGTAGTCAAATAATTTACTATATTGAAGTTTTTGTTGCTTTCCCAGTACAAAAGGACTTGGTAGAGAGAATGGAATCCTTGTGAGGCCCCTCAATGAAAATCCCTTTGAAGGAAAAAAACAAAACGAATCAGAGATAGGTTCGTAACAGTAAAATTAATTTTTTTACATCTTTTGCAGGTAAAAACACGCATGAAAATGACAAAAGATTTGAAAAAAAAGAGGTAGGAAGGAGGAAGAGAGTGGCATCGCTGTCCTTGAAATGCTGGCCTTGGGGTCCCCTATTAGGGCGATGGGGCCCTAACCACATCGTCGCTCTCAAAGAGTACACCAAATGGTTCCCACCACCGACACTTCCACTCTCTCTCCGCATGCCATTATTCTTTCTTCCCCCTCCTTTCCTATTCCCTTGTTTTGCTCGCATTAACAAAAATAAAAAAAATAAATGGTTACGACACAACTTTTAACTAATTTTAGTTTTTCTAAAACTCGACTATGCATGAATTTAAACAATAAATATCGGGTATGAAGATTTAAACTTTAAGACGAGCCAGTTTGGTTAGAGATTCATTTCTCATCCTACCGTTTTTCAAACAAAATTTTTATTTTTTTTTTAAATTTTATTTCGCTTTGTCATGTTTACATTTAAAATTTAATAATTATGGTGTAATTCATGTATTTTTCTAAAGACAACATTTCACGTTATTATTTTAATAACTAATATAATTTTAAATTAAGTCTAAGTGCTTGTAGTCTGAAATCAATTTTGGTTTAGGTTTTCTAATGAATTATGTGGTACATTTTGATTTCAATAATTAGTTAAGTCTTCTCAAAATGCTGTGTTGTTGGGTTTGATTAAAGTTTGGTAGTTTTCTCCTATGACATTTTTGGTAGACACCGACTTATTACATCTTTCTTTCACGTACAAAAAAAAAAAAAGATGTCCCGTGTTGAAAGAAAATGTATCATTAGTGAACATTATTGAGGTCCCTGGGGACAAGATGATAGGAGTAATTGAAGCCAAATTCAAATTCAAACCTTTGTTCTATTATTTAAGAGACAAGTCATAAATTAAAGTAACGATTAGTTCAAGATCAACACTTCAATATTTTGAATTTTGAAATCAATGAATCGAGATCTTAATACATACCGGTACAACAAACGAACCAACCCCAGTAAGAGTTTGCACTAAAAAAAGAAAAGAAAAGGTGGTGCTTTCAGTCAAACAAGGATTTTTTTGCCCCCTCCTTTTCATATTACGTCTTTCAAACAAAGGGTAGAGCAGAGAGCTTTCGAAGGTCTCTGACCGTAAATAAGTTATATTAAGAAGGGTATATCAGTAATTTCAATGCATGCAACTATTGTTTTCCGTGATTCATGAAGTTGTTCCATCATTCCATTATCACGGGAAGAAAAAAAATATATATTTTAATAATTTTGTTTCCCTTTTCCTCTAGGTTTCTTTCTATTCCAATAATAAATAAATAAATTATTATTTAAAAAACATTATAATAATAATCCATAATAATGGTGAGGCTAAGTTGAATTAACATCACAACCTCCTACTACCTACCAATTCTTTGTCAATTCTTAATCATACTCAATTCTTTTTTTCTCTATTTTATTTTGAATTATTTAAATTTTAATTATTTAATAACTATTCAAGATTAAATATAATTTTAGCCATCGAAAATTCTTATTTGTTCATATCTCGAGCGGTAGAAATAAAAATAAATCATAAAATAAACACAATAACATAGGAGAGAGCAAATTAATAGTCTATATGAAAGCAAAAAAAAGAAAACATTAATTAAAATTTAATAATCTCCCGAGAGAAATTGTAATTGAACACATTGGAAAAATTCACGAAAACGACATCGTTTCACTCAGCAGTCCCAAGTTTCATTGGCAGCTGGCTCCGCAAAACCAAAAGCACTATGATTATTATTATTATTATTATTATTATTATTATTATGAGGCTTAAAAATCTCCAATCCTCCAGCGTACGTTAGCATATCCTTGACACTCATGCTAACCTGCATCCCTCCACTGCCACCTCCGCCGCCGTTCCCATCGCCAGTCAAACCAAGAAAGTCCCTGGTCAGTCTATCTGTCTTCTGCCACGTGGCGTAGTCGGGGCCGAGTTGATGAGTCAGCGAGTCCATATGAGTTGGTGCAGCGAACTCGGCGATGTCAGGCATATTGAAGTGAGTCATATGGCCCACTGACTCGGGTTGATGCTGACTGGATTTCACAGCTCCAACCCCAACTGTTGCAGCCTTTTGGAGTAAGGCAGTGGCTGATAGATGAGCTGACATGGCTGGATTCACCGACACGTGGAGGTTCCTAAACGGTGTGGCTATCATGGAAGAGGAGGATGAAGAGGCTGCCTTCTGGTGGTGGTGGTGATGGCGGCGGTGGTGGTCTTGAATTATACCAAAAGGGTTGTTGGTGGCGTTGCTTGGGGAGGAGCCGGCGAGGGGCAAAGCTGGAATTTGGTGAAAATGGTGAGAATGTGAGTCTTCTGGCTTGATAATTTGGTGGGTTTGATTAGGGTTAGGGTTTTGGGGATTATCCCAAGGGTTAAGGGACATATAAGTTTGTGGCGACCGTGACAGCGAAGAGCTAGGGAATTGATTATGACTACCAAAAGGGAAAAGAGATTGGGCGGAGGTAGCCGCCCCAACCTCGGCCGCCTCAACCTCGGGCGCGATGACGAATTGGTTAGCCGAAAGCCGTGCACTTTCCTCAGCCAAAGCATCACAAAAGGCTCTATGGGTTATGAAGCTATCCTTTCTACACAAACACAAAACATTAGGCATGCAATGATTAGCATAAATTGAAATCCCAAAAGGACCACTTTTTTTTAGGTTAATTTTAGAGCACTGTAGCTCATGCATGCAAACAAAGAATCCGGAGCTGAGATAAAATATCAGATTTTGTTGCAGTTTTCATAATGATGAATGGTTCAGAATTTCAGAGCTCTCTCAAACACAATAATACAAAGGAGTCACGGATCCAATATTATCCTTAAAAAACCATCCCTTCCATTTCTTCATAATCAATTCACTCAAAACCTTTCACTTTTTCTCACTCTCAGAATTCAAACCCTTTGAGTATTTTGATCCAAATTTCAAGTTTTTATAAGTTTTTCACAAATCTAGTCCACACCCATTAAAGAGCAATGTATTTTGATCCCAAATTCATAATCTTCTCACAAATTTAGACCATACCCATTAAAAATCTATGTATTTTGATCAAAGTTTCATGATTTTTTTCACAAATTTAGACCATACCTTGATGAAAATTTCTTAATTTTGTTACAAATCTAGATCATACCCATTAAAGATTAATGTATTTTGATCAAAATCTCAAGTTTTCATAAGTTTTTTTCACAAATCTAGACCATACCCACTAAAGATCAATGTATTTTGACCAAAATTTCATAATTTTTTCACAAATTTAGACCATACCCATTAAAGATCAATGTATTTTGAGCAATGTTTTTCCTTAAAAAACATGTCAATCAATTGGAATTTGAAAGTTTTGCCAAAATAAAAGACACTAAAGGCCTGGCAATCAAAACAAAAGACCAATCCTTTTGGGTTAACAAAAACAAATAATTTGAATTTGGATTTGGATTGTTACCTTGAGAAGAGGGTTCCACAGTCACATCTATATTCTCTAGTGCCACAAGTTTTGGAGTGAGCTTTCCAATCCGATTGAACAGCATAAACTTTCGAACATTTCTCACATTTCCATTTCTTTTCTCCATGTTTTCTACAATAATGCTTTTTGATTCCCGTGAGATCTCCCAAAGCTCTTGAAGGATGATGATGAACACAAGATGGCTCAGGACAAACATAAGCTTTCTTCTTCACTTCTTTGCTGTTTCTTTGCTTCAATTTCCACGGCAAATTATGACCTCTCCTATGAAGCTGCAAATTTTGATCCCTTTGGAAGCCTTTGTTGCAAATTTCACACACAAATCTATTCGTAGCAAGAAGTGTTCTTGGTGAAAGTGCTATCACTTCAGCATCTGGGTCTGCAAGAAACAGCTCTGATTGGCATTAAAACAAGAAAAAGTTTGGATTTTTATGATAAAAAACAGGAATTGGTACCTGGGTTTCCGGGGAGGCTTCGTTTCTTCTTGATCTTTTGTGGTGGAAGGAGAGAGTTTAAAGAGACAGTAACTTCTTCAGACAAAGAAGTTGAATTGGACATTGTTGTGGCAAACATTTTTTTGGAGAAAACTCCAAGAGATAAAAACAACACAAAATACCAAAATTTGATGAATCAATTTGGTCTTTTTTTTTGTTTTTTTTTTTGGGGTTTGAGAGAAAGAAAGAAATCTCTCTCTCTTGTTCTTGTTGTTGATATTAAAATCAAAACCCTTTTTCAGAAATGGAGAGAGGGAGAGATATTAATACAAGAAAAACCCAAGGTTTCAGAAAGAGAGATAACCCTTAATTAGCTACAACATATGAGAATTGGATTATGAAGAAGAAGAAGAAGAAGAAAAACACGTCAAGAAACAAAACAAAACATCAAAACATGGAGGATATGTCTTGATTCTCTCTCTCTCTCTCTCTCTCTCTTCTTGTTCTTCAAAACCCTCAAAGGAATAAGCTTTCTCAAGATTAACAGCTATGGCTTCTTCAATGGAGAGGGAGAGGGAGAGAGACAGAGAGATTTGAAGCTGCAAAATGGGAAGAAGAGAGAATGAGAATTAAAAGGAGACCCAGATGGGAAAAAGTCTATAAAAACACTAAAAAAAACTAAAAGAAAAAAGAAATTCTTCAAGGAGAGAGAGAGAGAGAGATAGAGATAGAGATAGAGAGAGTGAGAGAGAGATAGAGAGAGAGAGAGTGAGAGAGAGAGTGAGAGAGAGAGAGTGTGTGTGAGAGAGAGAGAGAGAGAGAGATAGAGAGATAGAGAGTGAGAGAGAGAGAGAGAGAGAGAGAGAGAGAGAGAGA